GTTCAGGCAATGGCTTTCCAAGAAATTATTTTAACAAATTCAGTTCCAGCTGTGGCTTTCACATTCTTTTTTATAAGATAGTGACTGTTGATTGATTTGACCGAACAACCAAAAATCCAGTACCTTCCCCCTCTCCTCTAAACATAGGAAATCTGAGCTGTGTGCTGGTACACATCATTGATCCCAGCACTTTGGAGGCAGAGGCAGGCAGTTCTCTGTAAAAGACATCACGAGCATTTTAAAAGTCATACGGAGACAGAGCACAAACCCTTATGAAACTTTTCGGGGGACTTACTAATCAATCCCGACAACAGTCTTATCGGTCCATGTATCTTCCCTAAATTTTGTGTTCCTATTTTGTTTAGATAAGGAGCTGGCAATAAGATGTGTAAACACATAGTCAAGTTTTTCTTGTTCTAAAGCTTATTTGGGCACTTGATTGATCAGGAATGACAGTTTCCTGTTTGTGCTGCAGGGCCCTTGCACTGGAAATCAGCAGAGCTTGGCACACAGCAGGCTCTGGGATGCGGTTGTAGGCTTCCTTCACGTATTTGCCCACATGCAGATGAAGCTGTCTCAGGTAATTCAATGGCCTTCAACTGAATGGACCACAGACAGCAACATCAGCAAGTAAACCTGCTTTCAGATGAGGATGGTCGGGGGGCTTATTTTTAAAGATTTATTTTTACTGTTTGTCTATGTGGGGGTATGTGGACATGAATGCAGGTGCCCAAGGAGGCCAGAAGACGGCATCAGAGCCCCTGCAGCGGGAGTTATAGGAGGTTGTGACTACTTGGCCTGGTCGGTGGCAGCCAAATTCAGGTTCTCTACTAGAGCAGCAAGCACTCAACTGCTGAGCCATCCTTCCAGCCCTTACATCAAATATTTTAATAAAAATACTTTATGGCTCGTATAGAGAGGACAGCAGCTGAACAAGGGAGGGATTGCATCTAAGTCCAACTTGAGTGAGAACCAAAGAGTTTATTTGAGTTACTTACAGGACCATAGGTGACTCAAATGCACCTACAACACCAGAAGGTGCCCTGGGTGACTGACAGGCAGCAGCATCAGCAACATGGAAACACTAAAAGCCACACCCTGACGAGTCCCCTGGGCAAGGTGGGGCAGGTTCGTTACTACAGAGTTCTCTCCACCAAGCAACATAACAAAACCAAAGCACTTTATGCAAACCTTGTATGGACGGGAGTCATCAGAGATATCTGAGAACAATGGACATGAAGGAGCAAAGCAGGGCGTCACCAAACCCTCTACAGTTCACAGTCTTCTAGACTGTTCCCTGGCCTCTGTTCCTTAGAATTTCCCTCCTCTGTATTGGAAAGAGATTTGTAACCTGTGATAAATTTGTTCAAGGGAGTTTGTGCTTACAGACTCATTAACGGGCAAAGATGACGTTCACCCGTTACCAGGAAATTTAACTCTCTGAAAACCCAAGAGAAAATAATAATTGTCAGGATAAATAAGGAACAGACAGATGTCCCCCCAAGCCTCAGTGTTAATTCGCAGCCCATTGGAAATCTCATCTTCTGGATTTCCTGCTAATGCGTCTGTTCCGTTTCACACTAGAGTACACATGAGTAGAAAATTCTTAACAGCAACCCAGGGTGAGTATGCCTGTTCGGTGCAGTGATTCTGCATGGTCTATGTAGAGACCTGGCATGCCTGTCAGTTGTGAGTATGTGTCACATGACTGGAGAATGTTAGGTGTAGGGACACAGGTCTATTCTTGGGTGCTGATGGCAACCTTACTTGGAGTTTTGGTTGCCTTACATTTTCGCTGGCAGATATTGTTAAGTGGGGCCAAAATCATCCTTAGGCTGCAGCCTTGAGCTGTGTGAATCCTAGTTCTTTTTCAATCAAGTCTTTGTAGGCCAGATTGAGTGAGTCCTGGTCAGAAAGTGGATTCAGAGCTGCTTGGCTAGAGCTGGAGCAAGGAGAGAATGTTGTATCTAGTTGTTGGTGATGTCAGCCAACAGGAGAAGCTTCGTTATTCTTATCTAATCATTATTCTTTAATCTAATTAGTAATGGCATTTTGGAAAGTGAAGGAAGAGGGTTAGAAAGATTGCAAGAGTCAGAAGGAGCAGATGTCTGTCGTGGAAGAGTATTCGGCATCACAGTTGTACGCGAGAATTTACAGTGGCCGGGGCTGCCTGGACAAGATCAAGCCAGCCCAAACCCCAGTGTAGATGGGAGGAGGGCTCGTGTACTCTCTCCCCTAGGAGATATTGGCAACTGATGGCTGTTGGGAGAGGGAGAGTCCATTTTCTTCGGGGATGCTGTACCCAGGAAGCTGTCCATACTCCAGTAGGTGGTAGCACACCCAGGTACAACCAGGAAGCACTGAATGGACTCAGTGGGTATTTAAAGGGAGGGATAGAGAGAGCGAGAGCGGGAGAGAGAGAAACACTATGAAGTTGTGAGAGAAATGTGAAATGGAGGATAATGGGGGGCAAGGAGGAGAGTTACTAGGGAGTGGATTTGATCCAAACACATTGCATGCATGTACTTAAAAATAACTTTAAAGAAAGTCAAGGCAGCTGACGTGACCCACATCCACACGCCCAGAATTTCTACTTGGTGCATGTGCAGTGTTTTCAGTGTCTGGTGCTCCAGAGTCAGAGTAAACAACTCCTAGACAAAGAAAGATAAAACTTCTAGCGCTTAGGAACTTAGCTTCATATTATAGCAAAATGACACTTTATGCAGTTATTTGTTTTTTGTTTTTTGTTTTTTTGTTTGTTTTTTTTTTTAAGGTAGCCGGGTGTGGTGGCCCATGCCTTTAATCCCAGTACTCGGGAGGCAGAGGCAAGCAGATCTCTGTGAGTTCCAAGCCAACCTGGTCCCCATAGTGAGCTCCAGGTTAGCTGTGGCTACAGGGAGACCCTGTCTCAACAAAGAAAGGACTGGAGCAAGGTAATGAAGGACAGAGTAGAGGTGTGATGCTCTTACACAGGTTATTTGATATATGATGGGTGTGATGCTCTTACACAGGTTATTTGATATATGACGGGTGTGATGCTCTTACACAGGTTATATTCTGCACTTACAGTCACTCAGTCTAAGTGTAATGATTTTTATATACAACATGCTTATGCAAATAATGTTTTCATTTTAAAAAGATCACGAACAGCTGGGCGTGGTGGCGCACACCTTTGATCCCAGCACTTGGGAGGCAGAGGCAGGCAGGTCTCTGTGAGTTCAAGGCCAGCCTGGTCTACATAGAGAGTTCCAGGACAGCTAGGGCTACAGGGAGACCCTGTCTCAAAACAGCAACCAGAAGATGACAAACAAACAAATAGAAACAAACCCCAGAAAGCTTTAGTTAGAAAAGTATCGACAGGCTTAGTCAAATAGAATAATAAGATATATTGTGTAACACTGAGATCGATTGCAGCTGTGTATAGTTTTGGTTGGCCTTATTTCATATGTCCCTGATATACCTATTTTTCTGTGATAAATTGACTTTAAATAATATATAACAGGTTTATGTAAGAAATGAGGTAGGCTGGAGAGATGGCTCAGCGGGTAGACACTTACAGCCAAGACTGACACCCTGAGTTTGCTCCTGAGTCCCACATGGGAGAAGGAGAGACCTGACTTCCCCAAGTTGTCCTCTGACCCACACTCTCCACAGCATTTGCGCACACACACACACACGCACACACACATACACACACACACGCACACACACACGTGTGCACGTGCACACTAAATGAAAAAAAATAAATAAAACAGAAGATGGAGACCAGGGAAATTGATAGTCTTTTTCAAGTGAAACTATGTCGAGCAGCAGAAACAGCGGAGACTTGCCCAGCGTTTGTGCATGCCCTGTGACTTGGGGCTGTGCACACATCTGTTAGTCAGTGTTCTTGCAGGTACATCAGTGTCTCTGTAGACATGAACTCTACACACTCTCTGCTCCCTCGGTGGCCCTGTTTCAGTAAGCTACATACTTATAGCTGGCCGTCCTTCAACGCTTTAGGGGACTTAGTATTGGCCTGGGGCATTTTGTGTGTGGGGACCAATGTGAAGCCCTGCATGCTCTTTTTGCTTCTCACATGTGATGTATTAACATCTTCAGGATTCCAGTCAAATCGAGCTCTTGAAAGAACTCATGGACCTCCAGAAGGACATGGTGGTCATGTTGCTGTCCATGTTAGAAGGTAGGTTGTTAAATGTATGCCTTCCAGTTCTCTTTTATTGCTCAAGTTTTAGGAAAGATTTGTGCTTGTTTTGGGCATCACCATCTGGTTATATCACATCCATAATCAGGAGCAGAGAGTGCTGAATGCATGCTAGGGCTCAGCTGGTTTTCCCCATTTTATACAGTCCTGGATTCCTGTCCCGATGATCCCACCCTCAGTTAAGATGGAATTCCCACATCGGTTCATGTAATCAAGATAACTGCTCACAGGCATGCCAGAGGCCCATCTCCCTGGGGGGTTCTGGATTCATTAAGGTGACGATTAACACAGCTTTGTTACTCTTTTTTTAAATAATTTGAGAATTTCATACCTGCATATAAGTTATTTTGGTCAAATCCATGCCCACTCCCTCCCATATCTCCCCATCACTTTTTTCTGATAACTTCATGTATTTTCTTCTTCTTCTTTTTTATTTTTATTTTTTATGGGACTTTTGGATACTCTAACAATTCCCCCTCTGAAAAGGTATCCCTAAAATCTTTTAAGGATTAGATACAAGCTCCCAAATACTTTCCACATTATTGGCCTTTGGAACAGAGTATGTTGCTAAGAGGCCCAAGAACATTTTGACTTTTAGCCCAGAAATGGGCTACTTTTCTTTTTACCCTAACTCCGTAGCCAATTCCTACCTCCTATTCTTATCACACCATCCTCTGAAGGGGTTACCCAGATTGCCAATAGGGAATAGGGACGCAGACAGCTCCAGCTTCTTCCATGCTGAACAGGGATGCAGGGTGAGGCAACTGGAGTACCCCTTCAGTGGGTCTATCTAAAAGACTCCCAAATTCTATAAGTCATATGTGGAGGGAGGATCCAGGGGCTCTCAGGTGGTCCCCTGCATTTCAACCCCTATGCCAGAGGGAGGCCAGAACCAGCACTCTCTGGTGGTCTGCTGACATCATAGCTGATACACAGATGGATCACAGCTTTATTATTCTTTTTTTCAATTCAGTTTCTCTCTCTTTCTCTCTCTCTCCCCCTCAGTGCAAGTGCACGTGGAGGCCAGAGGTGACCTTGAGGTGCCTGCCTCAGTCACTCTCCATGTTTACTTTTTGAGGCAGGGTCTCTCACTGTACCTCATTATCTCAGCTGGACTGGTTGGCCAGTGAACTTCAGGATCTGCCTCCCTCCACCCCCCAGCACTGAGCTTGAGGCATTGGAGGCCGAGCCTGATTATTCCGTGGGTGCTGGGGACTCAAACTCGGGTCCACACACTTGCAGAGCAAGCACTTTACCCCTTGAGCCATCTCTCAGCCCATGATACTGTCATTCTTACATACCACTGTAAAGGGAAACTGAGGCTGGGAAGCCACTGCACTTCAAACAGGTTCCTCAGACAGAGTGAAGGATCAGAAAACAGGTTTATTCACCAGTGGGCTCAGTGAAGTCATCTCCAAAAGCCCGATACCCAGCTAGTAGTTTTTCTACAATATTTATAGACAATTCAGAGTCATTCCAGACCCACTCTGGCATTGGTGGGTACAGCAGTCAGGGGGCCTTTTACCCTATGTGACTGAAGGCCATGCACAGGGGTCTCCGACATTCAGGAGAAGGGGCTATGAGCTGGAATTCCAATCTGGGAAACATTTTTACAGAAGCAGAGGCAAAAGTTAAACATACAGCTTGTCTTTTTCTGCCTGAAGGAGACCTGGTCATAGGGAAACTGGAAGCCATTTTCCTGGAAGAGCAGGGGGCGCCATTTCCCAGTCAACCTGCTCCAAGTTTTTTCTCAATTAAATAATTTTAGTGGGGTTATTTTTGCATTTAATTTTAGTTTCCTTTATCACCTTTGTGTTTTGTTTTTATTCATCACCCACTCCCCTCCCTCCTCCTCCTGCTCCTCCTCCTGCTCCTCCTCCTCTTCCTCCTCCTCGTGCTCCTCCTCCTGATCCTCCTCCTCCTGCTCCTCCTCCTGCTCCTCCTCCTCCTTCTCCTCCTCCTGCTCCTCCTGCTCCTCCTCCTGCTCCTCCTCCTCTTCCTTCTCCTCCTGCTCCTCCTCCTCTTCCTTCTCCTCCTGCTCCTCCTCCTGCTTCTCCTCTTCCTCCTCCTCCTCCTTCTCCTCCTCCTGCTCCTCCTCCTGCTCCTCCTCCCTCCCACAAATAATCCCTCCTCCTGCTTCTGTGGCAATATTTTCCAGAAACCTCTCGTTCCCCCTTCTCCTCCCTGCAGACCTCTCCCTACCCTCTCATGATTTCATGATCCCCTTTCTACTTTCATCTCACACACACACACACACACACACACACACACACATACACACACATATATACACATATACACACATATACACATACACACACATGCACATACATATACAGACACACACATACACACACATATATACACACAAACACACACATATACACATACACACATACACATACATATACACACACACACACAGAAACCTAGATTCTACATATGAGAGAAAACAATTGAATATTTGTCTTTCTAAGTCAGGTTAAAATGCTGCCCATGTCAGTTTGAGTCTGTGCAGGATGAAAAAGTCACACTTTTCATTTTTCCATGACATCCCACCCAGACAACTCTGCAGACAGGCGGTGTACGGCAAATGCGTGTCTCTGTCTGTTGTGTCACAAAGGGGGTGGTAGACGTCTGGATGACCTCTAGCTGTCAAAACTGCTGCTTTAAGAAGAGCACATGGTCACTGCTGGAGCAGCTGGAAGTCTTGGTGGGAGGGTGAGACACTGCAGGAGGCACCTCAGCCCCATCTTCCCCAGCCCTCTCTCTGTTCTCCCATCCACAAATTCTGTTTTGCTATTACATTTCCTCGTGTCGCAGACAGTAGATGTAATTAAGAACTCAGGTCTGGAGAGACGGCCCAGCGATTAAGAGCACTGGCTGCTCCTACAGAGGACCTGGGTTCAATACCTAGTACCCACATGGCAGCTAACAACTATCTCACCTCAAGTCCCAGGGGATCCAACACCCTCTTGTGACTTCCTCTGGCAACTGCACAACGTGGATGCACTTGCGTACATGCAGGCCATACACTCATACACACAATAAATAAAATAGCACATACAGGAACTCAGACTTTGTGAGTCGCCAGTAGGGTTTAAAGTCCAGCTTTCCTTCTCCCTGAGCCTGTGACCCTCAGAGCTTTGTCTTGCTGCTGAAGTCCCTTCTTTGCAGTGTAGACAACGATAGGCTGATGTGTGAATAGCTCAAACTGTGAATACAGCCAAAACAACTAAGAAATGGTTGGTATTCTGTGATGTCTTATATGCTCCCCCATACACTCGCTCTCTTCCTCCCCCCCTCACTCCCTGTCTCTGCCTTCCTCTCCATCTCCCCTCATCCATATGCACTGCACTTTCCTCATTGGTTAGCTAAGGTAGCATTCACCTTTATGAGTGAGGAAGAGGCTGAGCCCTCGGCCCTCAGAGCCTGCTTGGATTCAGTCCTTTAACATGGTCCCATGTCCCAGTACCTCACCATGTGTCGCTCCACAGACACCACAGACCTCGCCAAGCACTGCTTTCTTCTGTCCTGGATTTCACAGCACTTCCTGTTCTAGGACTACAACTGTCTGTGAGTCTACAGTTTAGAATAATGCCCAGTTTTCTAAGGCTTATCAGTAATCTCCCCTTTTTAACTCCAAACACTGGATCAGGATGGATGTAGGACTGAGGTTTCCATTGTAAATCAGAGAGAGAAGAGGCACTGACCGAGGGTCTGCTTTGAGGTCCTGACACTAACTCTTCATAACCATGTCATGAAGGGCATATTAACCTGGCCTGGCCAAACCTCACTTATCTCCATTGTAAAATCAAAATTAATTTTAAAAAAAGTATGTGCCTTACAGGCCTAAGACTATCATATCAGGTATGACTTTTTTTAATGGTTTTTTGAGACAGGGTCTCCCTATAGCCCCAGATGGCCTGGATTCGCTATGGAGACCAGGTTGGCCTCAAACACATAGATAGCCCCAGCTGGCCTGGATTCGCTATGGAGACCAGGTTGGCCTCAAACGCACAGAGATCCGCCTGCCTCTGCCTCCTGCGTGCTGGGATTAAAGGCGTGAGCCACCATGGTATAACTTTTGAGTGTGAATTTTTAACCAATTAAGGGCTGTCCAAAGGCTCGTTTTCATGAGTAATATAAGGCTCAGTTTCAGTTTGGGGCCATTTGTCTTTATCTAAAACATCATTCTTTAAGTAAGTTCAAGGAAGAAAAATCATCTTTGGCTGAAATATTTTAAAAACATTTTATTCATTTATTGTATGCATGTGTGTATGTGTGGGGGCACGCACATGTAACAGCACGTGTGTGGAGGTCAGAGGACAATTTGTGGGAGTCAGCTCTCCCCTTCCACCTTGTGTGTCCCAGGGATTGAACTTGCGTTGTCATCAGGCTTGGCAGCAGGAACATTTACTTTGTGAATATGGTGTTTCTTGTGTTCTTCTAATGACTTTTTTGGTTTTGGTCTTTGGTTTTGTTGTTGTTGTTTGTTTTTCTGAGACAGGGTCTCCCTTTAGCCCCAACTGGACTGGAATTTTATATGTAGGCCAGGCTGGCCTCTGTCTCACAGAGATCCGTCTGCCTCTGCCTCCCAAGTGCTGAGATCAAAGGTGTGCGCCACCACACCCAGCTATAATCACTTATATTTAAAAATATAGTTTAGAATAAGTATCCGTCTCTTCCTGAGACTTCATACACTTCAGGTAAATTGAAGTGATATCTTTAGCTTAGATTTAATTCCAGGTCTGTATTATTATTTTATCTGCAGACACAAGTTTGGTCAAAACTGTTCACTTTGAAACCACTACAACTCTTTTTTCTACCAGGTAATGTTGTGAATGGAACAATTGGCAAACAGATGGTGGACATGCTGGTGGAGTCTTCCAACAATGTAGAGATGATACTCAAGTTCTTTGACATGTTCCTGAAACTAAAGGACTTGACATCCTCTGACACATTTAAAGAGTATGACCCTGATGGCAAAGGGGTCATTTCCAAGCGGGACTTCCACAAAGCCATGGAGAGTCACAAGCACTATACCCAGTCAGAGACCGAGTTTCTGCTGTCTTGTGTGGAGACCGATGAAAACGAAACACTGGACTACGAAGAGTTCGTCAAGCGGTTCCATGAGCCAGCAAAGGACATCGGCTTCAACGTCGCTGTCCTGCTGACCAACCTCTCCGAGCACATGCCCAATGACACGCGGCTGCAGACCTTCCTGGAACTAGCGGAGAGCGTGCTCAACTACTTCCAGCCCTTCCTGGGCCGCATCGAGATCATGGGCAGCGCCAAGCGCATCGAGAGGGTCTATTTTGAGATCAGCGAGTCTAGCCGAACCCAGTGGGAGAAGCCACAGGTCAAGGAATCCAAGAGGCAGTTTATATTCGACGTGGTCAATGAGGGAGGCGAGAAGGAGAAGATGGAGCTGTTTGTGAACTTCTGCGAAGACACCATCTTCGAGATGCAGCTGGCCGCTCAGATCTCAGAGTCAGATCTGAACGAGAGGTCAGCCAGCAAAGAGGACAGCGAGGAGAGGCCGGAACAGCAGGCGCCCAGGATGGGCTTCTTCTCCCTCTTCACCGTGCAGTCGGCCCTGTCCGCGCTCAGGTACAACCTCCTGACACTGGTGCGGATGCTCAGCTTGAAGAGCCTGAAGAAGCAGATGAAGAGGCTGAAGAAGATGACGGTGAAGGACATGCTGGCCACATGCTTCTCGTCCTACTGGAGCGTGCTCCTCATCCTGGTGCACTTCGTGGCCAGCGTCTGCAGGGGCTTTGCACGCATTGTCTGCAGCCTGCTGCTGGGGGCCAGCCTGGTGGAAGGTGCTAAGAAGATCAAGGTGGCTGAGCTTCTCGCCAACATGCCGGACCCCACTCAAGACGAGGTCCGGGGAGATGAAGAGGAAGGAGAGAGAAAACCCTCAGAGACTGCCTTGCCCTCTGAAGACCTGACAGACTTAAAAGAACTCACAGAGGAAAGCGACCTCCTGTCAGACATATTTGGCTTGGATCTGAAGCGGGAAGGCGGGCAGTACAAACTCATTCCTCACAATCCGAATGCTGGCCTCAGCGACCTCATGTCCAACCCAGTCCCCGTCCCTGAGGTGCCAGAAAAATTTCAGGTAATTTATCTCTAAATCATCACAGTGCTCTCTCTGTCTCTGTCTCTCTGTCTGTCTCTGTCTCTCTGTCTGTCTCTGTCTCCCTCTCTGTCTCTCTGTCTCTCTCTGTCATTGTCACTCGATCTGGACCGTAATTCACTATGTAGGCCAGGATGACCTTGAACTCAGAGAG